GGGGCGGCCATGGGGCCCATTCCCCCCACCCTCGTCAGTCCCGCTGAAAAATAAAAAAAATTGAGAAGAGTTAAAGGGAAGAAAGAAAGGGAAAAAAAGGAAGTGTACCCATGAGTTCAGTGACGGATCCAGCAGAGGGCGAAAGGAGAGCTCGATTATTTTACCACTCACTTATTGTCATCCAGCAGAGGGCGAAAGGAGAGCTCGATTATTTTACCACTCACTTATTGTCAACGAACACAACGCTATTATCCCCAACGCGTCAATCAGGATGTAAAAAGGCCAAAAGGCGGAGACCTAAAGACAGTTTTTTTAGCCGGAATGTAGTACCCAGCTATAGAACAGCTATCCATGCTCAGCATGGAGTAACGCCTACGCGTTCTCGTGCGAAAATCCGCAGGCCACCAATCTTTATGTGTATAATGATATTGATAAACAATCATAATTCTCTGTACTATCTACTAAACATTTAACGAATGAACTTCCTTGTGTTGTGGTCATATTAGACTGTTATATTTTTAAAGAAGACCATTCAGCAAACAACATAAAACAAAAATCCCACAATCGGAAAGGAAATATAAATGTATATGGGTCTGAACTTTGTAGGTGACAAAGTGTTCTTCCTTATGTTGTGGTCATATTAGAATATAATATCATTAAAGACCATTCAACAAACAACATGAAACATATATCAAACTTTTAGGTTAAAATTTCCACTTCCGAGCATGCATATAACGTAAGAATGAACTGATTATATAACTTATAGATAATTACTGTTGTCCGATTGTGTGCATCCTTGGTTGACACTCATATCAAAGGGCCTGTTAATTAACCTTGGACAGGAGCCTGTCGTCACCTGCTACGATGCCTTCTCCTTATCATGCTACAATGGGGGAAATTTCTTAATTCAGTGTGTATTCATTCATCAATAGAAGTCTCGTAATGCACGTAAGCGCATTTCTCAGCATCTAGAAAAAACAAATCTCTGCAAAGCTAGGAGAACCCCAAGACTACTGCAAACCACCCCAATCCCCCACGTCAAAAATAATCTTCCAGCTACGGAACAAACAAACATTACGTTTTCTTCCCATGACCCCGCCCACTCAGGGAACACATTATGTGCGATAGTCAGGGTAAAGCTCGGTGTATGTTGGGATGGTTGAACCTGGTTCAACTTTTCCGAATGCGTTGCAGACGAAGACGAATCAGGGTGCATTGCTAGCTGCCCTGTGCAATAGGAAAGGCACCCCGATTCGTCTGTGAACCACAACTGACACGATCGTCGGCGATAGGGTGAGCGATTCTAGGAAACCGAGCTAAAACTCTGGATCAACGCCTGAGAGGTCCCTATTCTCAAAATTGTCTATTCCCTCAGCCCCAACAATGGTGGGGGCAGTGAAGTGGACCCTCACGCACCCCCTACCGCCAAATCCTGCATCCGCCCTAGGGGTATCTAAGAGAGGAGGAGCATACGAGGGAGCATAACTGCCGTCGGGAGGAAGTCAATAATTTTGTAGAGAAACACTGCTTTGAAAAAGCATTTTTATTGTCCGAGAGTGCCATTTCCGAGCGTCTAGAGGGGCCTATTCTTAAAATTTGCTCCAAAGGCCACTGATCCTTAGGGGCCCCTTCGGTGTCCCTACCCATATGTCCAGTAGGGTCATCGCTCTATAGCACCCTGATCCAAAAGGGCTTTGCTGATACAAAACAGCATAATGTGTCACTGACATCGATTGTAGGACATATAGCATATTAATCCAGCAGGGTGGGTTGCCCAGCTGGCCAGGACCCCTGCATTTGTAAACATTTTTTAAAAATGGAGATTAAGTAATCAAATTTGAAGTTTGAATGAGTGTCATTTCCGGGCCGCTCTAGTTGGAGGGGTTAGCAAAAACAGTATGTTTTGTACTCTCG